ATATAAAATATATATAATATATTAATATATAACACTTAAGTACATAAGCGCTTATATTTATTGTTGGCAGGCCAAAGAAGGCGTTTATAAAAAATGTTGGTGCAAATGTACACCCTGCACCCCCCCAAATGACGCCCCTGCTCCAAGGTATTGTGAATGACCCGAAAAATAGAGATGTAATTGCAAAGGGCGCTCAGTGCCAATGGCACTTCAATCCACCCAGCGCACCTCACATTGGTGGCCTGTGGGAAACTGCAGTGCGATCCACCAAAAGTTTAATGATACCTACGTATAATGGGGAAGCAAAATCTTACACTTGAGGAGTTTGGAACGATGTTGTGCCGGATCGAAGCCATACTGAATTCCCGACCACTTACACGCCAGCCTCGACTGATCCTGCGGATCTGGACTGTCTAACACCTGGACACTTYTTGATTGGTCAGCCCTTACTTGCAGTTCCCGAAGCTGAAATCCCGAATTCACATCGCACCATTGTGAACCGTTGGAAATTGTTGAACCAATGCACTCAGACTTTCTGGCGTCGTTGGCGCGTCGAGTACCTTCAGACTTYGCAAACTAGAGGAAAGTGGATTAAGGATGCCCCAAACATTGTTGTTGATGACATGGTCGTGATTATAGATACCCAGGCCCCACCAATGAAATGGCGCATGGCGCGGGTCGTTGAAACGATTCCAGATTCGGATGGTACGCGTCGCCCGTCTTCGAACTTCAGACGGTTTGATCGTTCGTCCGGTAGTGAAGCTGGTGAAATTACCCATCGCGTAACCGCATTATAAATTCAGTATTTAACTATATCGTTATATACTTTTTATTTTTTATTTTTTTTCGTGTGTGTATACATTTCTTACTTTTATACTTATCGAACATCGTGCAACAACTATTGCGACACAGTTATTCCCTGATAAATATCATATTAGGAGTCGTAGTAGGTTTACTGAAGTAATCCTAAGAAAAAGTACAGGGAAACACAAACACATGTAGTAATGCAATGTTTTAAATGAATTTGTATGCATACCTGGGTGTGTTACACTAGGATTATCCTCTAAATCTAAATGTAATGTTTTAACATGGTTGCGTAAGTCACATTCTTTTAATTTTGCAGGACACATTGCACAATTAATTAGTTTTATGATGTTTGAATCACAGTTTTTTAAAACTAAAATAAACATAAATAAATTAAATTGAATATATTCAGTTAAGGGGGCTGCAGTCGGTCGTGTTTTAAGGAAATTAATATAGGCAATATAACATGATGACATTTAAGTGACTTGTAAGTGTGTGCAATGTAAACGAACATAAGTGTGTGTGAGTCTAATCTGTAATCGTTTTCGGACAATATTTCCTAGAAACCATCCTTCGTCGCCACCAAACATCGTAAACAATGAACAAATTATGCAGGTCATAAATATTATTATTCGTAATATACCTATACAGGTATAAGTATAGAGTATAGCTATACATTTTATATAATATTATTAATTACTCAATCAATCCATAATTTACAATTGTTCAGGACATAACTAGTAGCATTCACTGTTTACTGTGTTTTTTGTTGATTTTTTACATTTAATTCATTTAAATATCCATTCAAACACGAATATCAGAATACATGTATATGAAAAGAAGCTAATATGTAGGTATATAATATAACACAGCGGTTCTCAACCCATGGGCCGCGGGCAGCACGGTACTGGGCCGTGAACAATATAATATTATTATACATTTTTGTTTCAGACTTATAATATTTCTGGTTATAACAATATTTGATCAATATTAACTAGAGTGTAGAATAAGTGTACGGTATCGAACGTTTGAGGTTTAAATGTAGTGTTATCTCATATAATATATATTTATAAGTATATACTATATAGTTATGTTATTCCTATTATAGTGGGCCTCAGAGATTTTTTTACAAAATTGGTGGTCCACACAACTAAAAAGGTTGGGAGCCGCTGAATTATAACATATTACATAATATGTATAATTTTAATATTATAATTAACGTTATTACATTCACATAAATATACATAATATTATAATTTATAGGTTAGAGATCAGTGGCGTACCT